CCATATGTAGCAAATTATTTCTTTCCGTGCGTGAACTCTGATTCTATATTCTGTTTCAATCGATTATGAGCCTTCTACAATATTATATTATATATTAGTCCAACCACAGTCGATTATTTTGGAAAATATTCGACTGTGATTGGTCAATTTGCTTGTGGCTTATGACTAATGGCTTATTGTAGAAGTAAATATCTTCGGAGTACGCTGGGGATAACGATGGGGTACGCCAAATTGGATAAATACTCCGATTGGATAGTATTCCAATTAACGATTCTATGTTTGGCATATTATCAAGATCACTGGGCTGAGTAACATGCAAGTTTCAATCGTCGATCATTGATTATTAAAAGTTATTGACAAGAGAAGTTGCACACAAATAAGACATAGTTTCCCACCGTGTACATTTAAGACGCATACATGTGGCTAAGATGGACAGTATATTTGTATCTAAATAAGACCATCTGATCATTCAGCGTGGAGAATTCACTCTCAATGAAAAGTCAACTGAATCATTAATGATTCATGAAAGAATCATTCATTATGAATGAAAAATCAATCAAACTCGAGTGACTCGTTAGTCATTTTACTTCTCGAGCGAAATTTCACCTTAGAAAATTGAGAGTGTAGAAAAAGAACGCGTGCGCGCATAAGACTGTTAGTGAAATTCCAAGGTTTCAAACGCGAATAGCGAATTTCGTTGATGAGGAAACAGTGACGAAAGCTCGCTCTTCGTGCAAGATTCGACGAGAAAAAAAAATTCAATCCAGCGGGACAAATTGGGTTGAAAAGTTCATCGCTGACACGTCAAGAGCTGAAGTTTAAAAAGTCGCGACACGCACAAACCGCGGCTCTGTCCATTGAATCTTCGTTAGAATGCAGCACTAATTCAGCGAGGAATGTATCATTGACTGACGGTTGGCGCGGCAGAAGCCAGAACAGCAGCAGCCGTGTATCCATACATCAAGTCTACGGACGCATGCGCGTGTGTGCAAACGCATGCATGCGCATATATAAAACTATTTACGACAACGTGCGGCGTATGTACGATACGCGTTCTGTTCCAGTGAACGATGAAAACTCGTCGAACGTGACTGAGGCAATGGCGATGAGCGCTATACATTTTTTTCCCCCAACTCCCGCGCGGAATGCGCGTGTGACTGTGGATGCGGACGAACGGACCGTTGCGATTTACAGCGTCGCGTTATCGAGGAGTGATTTCATCGTGCCGCGAATACTGACACTCGCGTGTCGCGATGGAAAAGCCCGATCTCTCCCTCCGCCGCCGATCTAATGAAGCACGCGTCGAGCGCGTTAGACAATTTTCAGGCGTATCATTAGCCGGAGGATCGGGAGACCGACGGTCGCGCGAGAGAGCGCGAGTTCCCGCGAGTCTCGTAAATTAGCAACCGACCTATTCCGTCTCTCGAGGCCTCTCCGGCCCGCCCGGCGCATTCATCAAGAAACGATCATCGGTGCATTATGGCCGCGCGCGCCGTGACCGACGTGGCCCCGTACACAGGAATTAGCCATTAAGCGGAATGACGTGCGATTTCTCGAGACGTTTCCGCGGTGAAAGGGGACTGCCGGAGAAATTTAATGCGCCTCGCGCACTCGAGAAAAAAAAACGAGGGTCCTGCGGCACCGTAATTCAATTAGGCTCGCCGCATCGAAATTTAATGGGCCGCGACGCTGCAACTTCGCTTTGGATCGGTGCCATGCTACGGGCCTGCGTCCGGTGCAGAAAGGGCACGGCGCGCCCTTTTGTGCGCGAAGGACCAACTGGGATATCCGGGGAGAGAGAGGAGAAAAGGGATCCTTGCGAGTACACCAGGACAAAACCCAAGTCGAAATATCTGCATCAATCCTGCAAATTCCGTCGAATGTGAAGGATCAATCTCGAGATGTAACGTTACATAGGCTATTGTTTTATCTGGATGCTGCGAACGCTCCCTATAGTTTCCATATCGAAGTTTGAAAAGAATAATAAGTCTGTAAAATGTACTATAAGAATTTATAGAAAATTGAAGATAAGTGAAGATAAGGAATTATTTAACATTTTACAATCTTAACTAACTTTTTGTGCCACAGCAGAATAATTGCGTCCCACTTATCTTCTCCTCATTTCCAATAATTTTAACTAACTTATCGGACCAGACATACTATTAATAAATAGTCGTGTAACAAATGGTGAATAAGATGACTCACTTTATCATTTCATATGTCTTATTTCACTATTTATTATACGTATTTATTGATTATCAAAGGAAAGGGATACTTTTCGGATTTTACGAGTGTGTTCAAGCAATTTTAAATGCTCTTTTGTCTATATCTTTATTCAGAAATAGCGTGCAACTCTCATCAGCATGTCATTCTTCATTTCTGATGTCACAAATCCGACATAAACAGCGAGGTACAAGGAGCCTTAACAGATTTCAGAATCAAACAAGCAGGGATTTCAAAGCTATCTTTGATATATTTACAAATCTTGCTTGCTTAATTCTGTAACTTGTTACAAAATAGCAGAAATAATCGGTTTTGCCAATTTATCCCGACTTAGCCAATTCGTCCCGTTCTCCTCTATGCGTCCATAGTACTCAACACGTTAAATGATTAATGTGAGTGAACTGAACAATAAACTTTCTATTTTTTTATTTTACTTCTTCTTCTATCAGAGTTGGAAAATCGATAGATTTGAGAATATTCTCATCCATAAATGGAGAAAAGAATTATATGAGCAAAAGATAACAATGCGTAAATATAAATATAATCTTAATTATCTTGAGTACAATAACAAGGCTAAACAAAAGTAAGAAGAACAAACATTATTGGAAAGACTAATTTCAGTACTTGTGAGACAGGTTAATATCCGTAGTTATAAATTATTCACGGTGTTTGATTGAGAATGTAATTACAAATTCGTATTCATGGGTCATTATTCAACTGTACGAATCAATACCGTATGAAATAAGTATGCATATAGGTTAGTGCAGTATGAGTATAATTTGGTATTTATGAAGCTATAATTATTTGTCAAATAATGACGAATTATAAATGCCGACCTACATTTCAACTCGAACACGTCTTTATTCTCGGTAAGCTCGTCAAATGCCCGATTAAGTTCGAGCGATTAAACTCGAAAATTTGTGAATGATAAATGATGAGTACGTCAATCTGAGCACAAAGATCCCTGGCGAACAACTACGTAAAATTTCGAGATATTAAAACAGGAAGATTGGCAAGCAGAGTGGCGACGTTGTGGAGTGAGTTCTGTTAACGCGAGATCTCATCAAAACTGGCTGAATGGCGGTTGTTTGCAAAATGTCAGGTGTCCTCGTGCTCATGTTGACGTGCTCTATCTTCACACGCATGGTTTTGTATGTTTTGCGTCAGACACTCTGTACAACGTACCATGGTGTCCTGCGTCCCGGTCCGAAATTCTGGCCCTCGTTGCTCCAAGTTAGCGGATATTTATTCACACACCGCACTGACACTCGCGTAAATAATAATAATACAATTTGCGATCGGAGCAGCACGTGACAATCAACTGGATGTCAACGGAAGTCCAATTATGCGAACCAAATAAGAATTATGACTAACGTACTGATATACGTGCTCGGCGACATGTATGTCAGCTTAAAGTACAACGTAACACTCGGTCAACGGCACACGAAAGTATCAAAACAATCAGCAAAAAGTCACCGCGCGTCAATCACCAAGCATGGTCGCCCGATAATGAATGACACGTACATTCGGCATCCGAAGGATCACTATAATCAACGCTCTTATACGATTCGCTCGGAGAAACGCGCGTTAACTAACGCAATGCTGACGGAAGCCCGATGGAATATTTCAATAGACGACGAAATGTTTTAATCATACACACACGCACACCCGATGGGAATTGTAAACAACGTACCGATACGTGTACTCCTCGTTGCGATATGCACGTTGTTAGTCGACTCGAAACGTCACCGACGGGCAAGTATGCGATGCGCGAAAGTACCAAAACAATCAGCAAAAGTCACCTCCTGCCAATCATCGTCTTCCGCCAATCAATGACAGCATATTCGGTGGCTGAGAAATCATAACAGAATGAAGGCTTTGAAAATATTCAGGATATTCTGGGTGTTCAACTGATCAAATTGTCAGGACGTTGTATGTATCATACGTATTGAATGCTCGTAGCAGTAACGACCGTCGTCGGTTAACGTGCGATCATTAATTATCGCTGCTTCCGATAGACTTGCACTTTCATGTGAGTCGATCGAGCGTCTAGCTACGATGACGACCAGGAGCTGGATTCAAAAGGAAATATAGAGCGCATGACAGATCGCCAATCGGCTGAGACTTGTAATTTTTACTTCTTCATCTCTTTTAAATCCTCAAATTCTATTGAAGTTCCCAAAGTCAATAGAGAGAATAATAATAAGGAAATTATGAAAGAAGAAAATTTGCCGTGTAGTCATAAGGGCTCCCGCACACAAACGTTCGTAACCGTAGACGTAAGACGTAAACTTAAGCTAAGAAGAACTAATTAGGATATTGCTTTATTTTTGCGTACTCTAGAAAAGGAGAAAGGTAGAAAAAGATAGAACTGACAGTAAAACCGACTGTTATACAGAAGTAACTAGAAGTCAACCGGTTGAAATTCTGGTTCAAAGTTCTAGCTATCGTTATTTCTATCTTCTTCTAAAGTGCGCAAAGATAAAGCAATATGCTGATTGGTTCTTCAATTGAAGTTTACGTCTTACATTTACGGTTATGGAAATTTGTGTGTTGGAGCCCTAAAAAATTCGATAGACGATAACGTAAGGAATCGGTGATCACAATGATCCGCGTAGAATAGGAATGACAACATAAACTTAGACTCAAGACTTGGAAGAATTCGGAATACATGGTATCCTGTAACTCACAGAGGAGCTGCGATCGCACGTTAACCGACGACGGTCGTTACTGCTACGAGCTTTCGAAACGTATGATACATACAATGTCCTGACAATTTGATCAGTTGAACACCCAGAATATCCTGAATATTTTCAAAGCCTTCATTCTGTTATGATTTCTCATTTATTGGCGGAAGACGATGATTAGCAGGAGGTGTACAGGTAGATTAGGTCAAACTAAACAAAAAATTCCTCTATCATTTTGCAAACAACCACATAAAATTTTTGGAACAACCATGTAAAATTTTGAGTTATTAATCAAAAACGATTCGTGAATCATCACGCGCCATACGATAGACGAGACGTGATGGCGATTTCTGCCGCTATATGCTTGTACATTATATCAAACAAAAAGTCCTCTACCTATTTAGACTATAATCATTTCATTTACTCACTTATTCGTTCATCTTTATTAGATTATTTAATATTTGCCTATCACACAGACATGTTTTGTCTGCAGACAACGGAATTACATAATTGATATATTATCTATCAAAATTAAGCATTCAGAACGATTATAAATACGCAAGTAGATTATTAAAATAATCTAACATTTGCAGACTATCATTAGAAATTCAATGAGGCGAATTATATTTCTCTCTATATTTTTGTCCCTTATTCGGTTGAGGTTATTTCGATATGCGAGGACCATAAACGATAACTGACGAATCCGTTGGGAAATCGCCAAGGCCGCCACGGATGGGGCAATAAAAATAAAAAGATACTGAGAAAAGAGAATTATGAATTCAAATCCTGCTTTCGAACGGCATTGGCAACGGCTACGAAGTATATCTTGTATTTTGAATATATCTCTGAAGAAAGAGATTGTAGCTTTCGCTTTGCCTTCTGATAAACTCTTTGTATGTCCTCATTTCGAAAATTAAAGAATTAACTGAACAAGAAGTTGCCTTTTTCGACATATTAAATAATTCTCGCTTAAATGAAGTTTTTTCCATCAACAAAATAGCAACAAAATGGCAATAAAATGACGATTAATAACTACTTCTAATATCAAAGAACAATAATTTATATGTATCTCGAGATTCCCCATTAGTTCCTCAAATTCGACGGAAAATTTGCAAGGTTAATGTAGCAATAAAATTCTGACTTGGAAAGTCACAAAGGTCTTTGTGCGAGCGAATATTGTCTCTGCAAAGGATTCAATCTCGATAAATTAAATCAATCGCAGAAAATCATATTAAAGGTTTTAAAGTAAAATTGAGTGAGAATTGCTGAGATCAAACTAAAGATGCATTGTCAGCCAATTTATTCGACGCGGAGAAACTCCTTTATCGATTTCCTTCGATTTCACGTTGCAAAATGTTTAGCTACTAAACTCGTTACAGCGAGTGGATTGATATGAGGTCGAATATGTACTCGTCACGCGGAATTCCTCTTTCGCTGGTTATTGAACGGAATATTGGGAAATTTTCGTAAGGTCGTGATATCCGTTTCGTTCGCTTTCTCAAAGGAAGCGCAACACACACTTGCGCGCGAGTACACGTGCACACACACACACACATACTTCGTGATATTTGATTGAAAATTCTTGGATTCAATATGAACGCAACGATTTATGTAGAGCGTATAGGCATAAAAGTTATTGCTCAGAAATGCCGCCAATATTGATAAACGAGTTCAACGGTGAATTTTCTGAAAGTTGCAAACCGTGCATTTTCTCAAATTTGTGATCAAGTATCTCCTTTCCTTTCGACATTTCGTTTCTATGAAAGTTCATGAAGTTCAAGAGCGATCGATAAAGAATTATTTCAGGTTTCTATAGAATATTCTAATTGTGTACTTCTATAGAATATTCTAATTGTGTTAGACCAATTGCTTTATTGTATGTTAGGCAACCAAGTCCATCTCGTTACTTCCGCAACTCTTCTCGGAACTTTTTTCCAGCTACGCTTACAAGAACTGTCAGAAATCGATGGTGGGTTCTTGGAAGTAACACATTAGCATTTGCATGCGTGATTTTTATTACCACTCATTGGAGAAAGAAATTCACTGGTATATATACTAAGAACTAGGGTTGCTAACTTGTGTAAAAGATATGAAAAATATATACAAAACTTATGTGAATGCCTGTACAAGTAGGATGTAGTCACGTCAAATTAATTGAATTTTAAATTATATATTGTCAAAATTTTGGTGTTCTCTCTCTGTCAGAAAGAGAAGTGTAGTGCTTCTTGCCTGTTTCTTGCAAAATCTCTATTTCAAAAACAAGCTTGACATGTGAAACGTTAACGAGTATGAGATAATTGTTAAAAATAATATAAATATGCATCCAGCGATTATCTGGTGAGCCTTCATTTTGCGTGTGATTTTTTTTCAACGGCTATTATTGCGAGTCGGCGAGAAATAAACCTGTTGACTTGTATTCAGTAATTTAATTACAAATTATTCTTTTAGTTATTGACACAACATAGCAAATATATTTTATTATCAAGACAAAAAGTTATATACGACGATTCTTTTGTCAATATATTCATGTGTATATTAACTGTGTATATCATAATATGTCTTTGGTATTAATATCAGCTGAATAAATGTCGTCATATCATTTGATCTACTTTAGTGATTAAAGACATAATTTTTCATGCTGATTGTATGTTTATTTGTATGTTATAATTTTAAGCTAGGTATCCAATAAAGCGTTATTATTATTATACTAATGTTTACGAAATTTTCTCTTTTGGTAAGATAAAATGACGAGCATTTGCCAAATATATCCAATACGTTTGTCACTTAAAAATTCTAGACGAGATACAACTGTGTATATCATAATATGTCTTTGGTATTAATATCATCTGAATAAATGTCGTCATATCATTTGATTTACTTTAGTGATTAAATACATAATTTTTTATGCTGATTGTATGTTTATTTGTATGTTATAATTTTAAGCTAGGTATCCAATAAAGCATTATTATTATTATACTAATGTTCACGAAATTTTCTCTTTTGGTAAGATAAAATGACGAGCATTTGCCAAATATATCCAATACGTTTGTCGCTTAAAAATTCTAGACGAGATACACTTTTTCAGTAGCTTTTTGAACCTTCTTTTGCATTATCTTATTGAGACTGAGTTTCTTGTACCTTCTCTTGAGGTTCGTGATAAATGAATGTAATGTGATTCCTGTATCTGATATTACGAGTGAAGCTATGTATACTTTTTTCTGTTTCGTTCTTCTTACCAAAAGAAAATTTCTTAATTTTTTGCTCGTATTATTATTATTAATATCTCACAATGTGTCAAGTACACACACGCGCAATGAAAAATGTATCACTCACCTTCATTGTCGATGGTGAAGATGCCGACGCCGTCACCTCCCCGGATGCTGTATCCAATCCTGGAGTCTCCGCCAGGCGGATCCGCGTCCTTGGCGCGAACCGTGGTGACGAGGGTGCCGACCGGCTGATTCTCGAAGACACTCGCGGACACGACAAAGTCGTCGAAGACCGGCGCGTGTAGATTTTCATTCACATCGACCATCTCGATTATAACCATCGTCTCGGAAGACAGAGACGGCTCACCGCGATCGCGCGCGACTATCGTCAACGTGTGCACCTGCCGTTCCTCAAAGTCCAAGCTCTGAGTGGTCTTCACCGTGCCGGACACTTTGTCGACCTTGAAGAAGCCCTCGCTCTCCATGGCGTCCGAAAGGAAGTACTCGATGTCGCCGCCGGCGCCTTCGTCCGGGTCCGTGGCGTCCACCACCGCCACGACGGTCCACACTGGCACGTCCTCGCGGATCTTGACGTTGTAGCTCGACAACGCAAAGGTGGGCGCGTTGTCGTTCACGTCGTCCACCGTCACTCTGACCAACGCGTCGGAGTACAAGGGCGGGTTGTCGGTGCCTTTGCCGCCGTTGTCTCGCGCGCGAATCCTCAGCTCGTATATCTCCTGCCGCTCCCTGTCGAGCTTGCCGAACACGCTGAGCACACCGGTCACGGGATCCACCCGGAAGTCATTGGTCTCCGTGACGAGGGAGTAGGTGACGCGCGCGTTATCACCGAGATCGGCGTCGGTGGCGTTGGCGCGCCACACGTTGGTGCCGTTCAGAGCGGTCTCGGAGACTCGGAAGCTCGCCAAGGACTTCTCGAACTTGGGCGCGTTGTCGTTGACGTCGAGAATGGTGACGGGTAGCATCTTCGAGGCGGACTTTTGCGGCTTGCCCAAGTCGTACACGCTTATGTTGAGGTAATACTCGCTCTCCCTCTCGCGGTCCAAGTAACCGATCACCTTGAGATCGCCGGTGTCCGGGTCGATGCCGAATACGGAGTCGCGGTCGCCGCTGGATATACAGAAGACGAGCTTCCCGTTGTAATCCAGGTCGCGATCGCGAGCGCGTATTCGCACGAGAGTCGTGCCGAGTTTCATCGACTCGTTCACCCTAATCTCATCCGGGAAGTCGATGAACTCCGGCGTATGCACGTTCTCGCCGTAGCGACTGGGTATCAGCGTGTACTCGTCGTCCCGCGATGGCATGTTGTTCCTCTCGGCCGAGGCAATCGCGTCGGTCAGCCTGCGCGCAACGCCGGTTTCGTGGCACTCGAAAGCGCCGGCTTCGTCCGTCAACAGTCTCCCTTGCGAGCCGAGATTCCGTTTGGCATTCACGAGATGCATGTGCACGGGATTAACGTCGGCGAAGTGCGTGCCGTCGGTGGCGGTAATGTTGACGACTCTCTCGGTGACTTTGACGTCCGTGAGATCGCAGGCGACCGAGAGCACGCCGCTGGCCGAGTCGAGGGCGAAGCAACCGTCGGAATTGCCGGAGACTATGCGGTAGCTGATGATATTGCCGGCGTCGAAGTCGATCGCGGACACGGTGATAATCTCGGAGCCGATCGGCAAGTAGCGCGGCACGTGGCCCGTGCAATCGATCCGCTCGAACTGCGGTCGATTATCGTTCACGTCGCGTATCCGCACTCGCAATTGCATCTCCGCCTGACGTCGGTAGGGCAGGCCCCAGTCACTGGCGCGCACGTGCAGCAGGTACTCCCGCTTCATGCTCTCGTAATCGAGCACCTGCTTGGTCTTGACGATTCCGGAGAAGTGGTCGATCTCAAACGGCACCTTCTTGATGTTGTCGATGCTGTAGGATATGTAGGCGTTCTCGCCGGAGTCGCGGTCCTTGGCGATAACGCGCACGACGGACGTGCCAGCTGGCTCATTCTCGTCTATCCACACTTCCTTCTCCGGCTGCTCGAAGGTCGGATCGTTGTCGTTCGTATCGACCACGTTGATCTTCACCTTGGCCGAGGACTGTTTTCTGGTGCCGGCGTTACCCTGGTCGATCGCCGACACCGTGAGCGTGTAGAACGCCTTTTTCTCTGCGTCCAAGTTCACCGCCGTGTACAGCATGCCGGTCTCGGCGTTCACGTAAAACTCGCCACCCTCGTTGCCGCCCACTATCTCGAGGAACACTAACGCGTTCTTGCCCTCGTCCGCGTCCGTTACCTTGAGCCTGATTACCGGTGTGTTGATGGGTGCCGTCTCCGGCACTTTCACCTCGTAGATCTCGCGACTGAAGACCGGCGCGTTGTCGTTAAGATCGGCCAAGTGCACCGGCACGAATTTGTAGCTGTATCGTTGCGGCACCCCGCGGTCTGTGGCGCGCAGAGTGAGATTGTAACCCTGCAACGCGGTCTCCCGATCCAGCAGGTGCAGCACCTCGATGTTGTATTCGCCGGATCGCGACCCGCCTACCGGACGCACCCTGAAGTGCCCGGCCGGATCGCCGCCCACAATGTCGAGACTCGCGATTTGACCATGCGGGCCCTCGTCACGGTCGATCACTCGCACGATCGCGTAGATGTCGGCGTTCGAGTGCTCCACAATGTTGGGCAGGTGGTGCACGTAGATCTCGGGCGCGTACAGGTTCACTTGGCGCACTCTGATCGTGACCTTGGCAGTGCTCGCGCTGCTGGCACCCACGCTGCGAAACAGGGTGCCGCGATCCTTCGCCAGGACTACCAGTTCGTGTATCGCTCGCTCCGCATACCTAACACAAAGTGACAGACTGGGTTCGCTGATGTTGTGATAGTTTCGTAATATTAGTGTATTCAAGGGGGAAAAAAGTTTGTTTATTCCTTCTGTAGTAAGCTTTACATAGGAACAAGAACATATATACAGAAATTCACGATCGCGTGACGCCATACATGGCAAATATTTATGACGTGTGAAAGCATGTCACGAACAAGAAGCGGAAAGTAAATAAATAACATAAAAGATAGCATTACAGGAAGAGTATTGTGTGACGAAGTCGCGTATTCCAAACAAGCAGTTCTATACGAGTTCGGAATGATCGAATAAGCAGTAGGAGAGATTGGGGACATGTCCGCAACTTTTCAAAATTTCAATGATCAAATTTTTATTAATTAATTCTTGCGACTGATTGTATAAAATGATAGAGACAATCTTGCTTTTTTTATATTTTTACTAAGTATAATTTTGTAAATCGTACATTTTCCTCTAACAACCGAAATATAAATATATGTAGCATCATTGCGGAGCTGTTCAAGCAATTCAAGACAAGTTAACCACCTATTAAAATAAACAGTATATTTGACAATTATTAACATATCCATTGTGTGTGTATGTAAAAAATTCATCTAAAAACTGAACACAAAATTCCTCTACCAAAATTCTTTTGTCAAATTCTGCTATAAAAAAAGTCCTCTACCATTTTGCAAATAATCACATAGATTTGTAGTTATTAATTAAAGAAATATGATGCAATATCACGCACAATCGTGTACTAGTTTTCTTTAATTAATAATACAAAATTTTATGTAATTGTTTGCAAGATAGTAAAGGAAGTTTGATGAGTTCTACCTGCACACAACGGATGTGTCATGAATTGTCAGACAACCTGTTCATACAACTTAAGAAACGCTTCGTTTAAAATTATTTTGTAACAAATATGGTTTATATTGTTTAGATTCTGAAAGAAATATAGGATATAGAGATTTTGGCCTTCTTTTATATATATTAATATAATCTTTTAAGTTTATAATATCGATCTATCATTTTTGGTATTATGCCCAAGTATGACTAGTATTCATAGTTTAGTCTTATATATAGTTTTAAGTTCATCTTGATGGTCCATAGCTAGTGAATCGATTGATGCAGTTTTCGAAGATGAACTTAAAACGATCTTAAATATAAGATCTGACTATGAATATCGCCATATATCATAACTGTTTCAGCGATTTGACGTGTGTGATATCTCATGTAGCACGTGATATTAATCTACCTTTAGTTATAGATGTAACTAACCTATTCATTTCTTCGATTCCAATCATTTAATGAATAAAAAGTATTCATATTACACAAAATGGTGTATCATACAACTGCATAAAACTTTATTTTAACTAATAACACATTACTAATCTATCTTTAGTTATAGATATAACTAACTTACTCATTTCTTCGATTCCAATCATTTAATGAATAAAAAGTAGTTATATTATATAAAATGGTATATCACACAACTGCATAGTACTTTATTTTAACTAATAACACGTCACTAAATAAACACACGTTTATTCATTCACGATGGAGAATGTTAACACGAAATTTTAGGACACACGAAAATTTCCTTAGCTACTATGAAATCAAAATTTTCTTCTTTTTAATTTAGCAATATTTTTTCCAACTTTAATGAAACTCAAGGAAACGTACTCGCGTGTTTTAAATAGAACATTTTGAAATTTCGTTTCCACTATTTCTTTCACGACAAATACAATACGACAAACAAAGCGTTTTGCGAATCTACTCCTATTGCGAATATATCCCGGCCTCTCTTATACAGAGTGCCTGACGTAAAATGTACAAAATTACTTGTGAAAGTAGAACACGTCAACTTGAACAAGAAGATCCTTGGCATTTTGCAAATAACCACGTGGAATTTCGAAATATTGAAAGAAGAAGGTTAGCGAATCAGAGTACGATATTGTCGGACGGGTTCTCTAAGCACAAGATCTCATCGAAAATGGCTGAAACGCGATTGTTTCTTAGCATAGATGGATATTGGCTGACAGCTGAAGGCAAAGTAAGGATGCGAGCGGCGCAGAGGCAATTGTTTTTCGTGCGCGTATCGCGTAGTATCGCTAAGAAACAGTTTCAGTCATTTTTTATGAGATCTCACGCAAACAGAGCTTGTCCCACAATATCGCGCGTTCTCTGGTTCACCAGTCTTGCCTTTAGAATATTGTAAGATATAATAGTAAGTATTATTGCGGTCAAGACTGTGTCAAATGACAATAAGTGAGTAAAGTATCTATAAGCAGCAGTTCAGAGTAGATAATAAATATGTTAGCTGTTTGATTGAACCGTAGGAGTTCCCAATTAACCTTCCTGAACTCACCTTCGCTCATAGACCAACGAAACATAAAAAAACCGATGGTTTCTTCGAAACCGAAATTTTCTGAGATAATTTTCAAAGACATTATGAAAAATAAAGACTTATTTTCTTTACTATTTATTCTGTTTTTTTTATTAAAAGATATCCTAAACTATAACAAGAAATCGAAGAGCTTGTAAAAAACGAACTTTTAACATTATATTTTAATAATATAAAAATCGGTCTCACAAACCGTAGGTGAGTCTATATGTTAAAAAAGGTAAGGAACCGTATGAAGTCTATTTCTTTCACGTTTTTACCCAAGTGATACCGTGTTGTGGCTACGTGATCGAAGAAATTTGGCTTTCTCTTACTTTAAATATTTTATTCGGTTTCACGTCAGATTTTCCAGTTATAGATTACACGAATAATGCTATTTGCGTGACTGATTTTTTGTTTATCAAGAGTATTAAATGAGTCGCGACGGAATAACAGTCAAAGACGAAAGCTAGATGGTTTAAAAGCGAAGAAAGCGAGAAGATTGAATGCAACAGTTTAAATATGATGCTAATACAAAAGTGCGTTTGATATTGAGAATAAAAATTTCCGACGATGATCGAACCGCATATCGAAATGCACATATAACGCGCACGTATAACCTTCCAAACAAAGACTCGGACGCCGAATTGTTATTGTGCACAGAACAAAATACTTTGAAGTGTTTGTCTAGTTGAATTAACTAATATAAGTTTATTCGAGCAGCTTTTTACAATTTGCGCTCACATCTAATCTTAAGCTCAGATCTAAAGCTCAAATCTCTTTGTCCTCATTTATTCGTCGTATTTATCCTATCTTTAATGTTTCTACAGCCGACTATCCATCTTTTGTTCCTTTGTTTAATAACTCTATGTATAACTCACTAAGGCAACATCTCGCGTAAACACAAGCCGAACATCGATTATACTTGAAATGATCAAACATCGCGTGCAATATCTCGAAATTTCGCATGGATCTTTGTAAAATAGGGGTCCTCGTTAACTCAGGTTAACGTGCTCCATCTTCACAATTTGTGTTGTATGTCTTACGTCAGACACATAGTGGTTTGTCGCGTTTACCTGAGTGGTCTCGTGAGCGTTATTACGCCGCTGACCGGATGAACGGCGAATTGATCGGTCTCCTCGGCGAAGCTATAGTAAATCTCGCCGTTTCTGCCGAGATCGGCGTCCTCGGCGATTACCCTGAGTATACTGCGATGCAAAGGCGTGTCCTCCGTCACGGTGGTCTCGTACTCGGTCGGATAGAACAGCGGATTGAGATCGTTCGTATCGAGGATCGTCACCACCACCGTGGCGTCCGCCTCGAGCGTGATCGCCCTGTTCCTACCGTCGCGTCTGCTCGTAGTCGCGCGCACCTCGAGCACGTACCGGTCTTTACGCTCGCGATTCAGCACGTCGACGTTACTGGTACGAGTCCGAATGAGGAGGAAGCAAAAATCGCCGACCGTGCGCTCCTCCGCCTTGAAGAACTTGTCGCGGTCACCACTCACTATACGGAACTTGATGTCAACGTCACTGTCGGCGGACGCGAGTTTTATGCCCATCCTCCCTTCGGGCACGACGTACGTCTTGCCGATGGAATTCTCGGGAATGGAGACATTGTACAGGGGTTGAGTGAAACGAAACTCGCGCTCCGACGGAGAACCCGTATCACCCTCGAACGAGGTCGACGAGGTCGTCGCGGTGCTGATCGACGGGACCGACGACTTCATCGACCCGGCACTACCTCCTCCTCCTCCTCCTCCGCCGCTGCCGCCGCCGCCGTTTCCTTCTCCTCCACCGCCAAGCGGCGGCAGAAAAGTTGTCGGCGTGGAAGTGTCGGAAGACGGGGAGCCGGCCGTGGCCGTGAACAGCCACAGCCACAACCATGGCCAGGCGTGCAGCACGCGCTGCTTCATCCTATGCATGGTGGTGTCGCTAGCTCATCGTCGGTGCTTTTCCACAAGCTCTTCCGGCCGGCTGGCTCTCCTCCCTGGCAGAGCGCGGCCACCAGAGCGAGGTTTGGAGAAGACTTCCGGCCCCGTTTCGCGTTTCGCCGATCACCTGAAACAGCAAACGACGCCAAAGTTAGAAACGGTGCTGCGAATTAGTTGGTCGACGAGGAAGAGAGAAGAGAGGGAGAGCTAGCGCGTAGGCTAACGCGCGAATGCCGAACACCGAAATCCGAGGTTATCCTCGACGACAGCTACCGGCTTCCAGCCGATCGAGCGCGAAGACGGGACGGTTTAGCCGAGGGAGTTAGGGCCGGCAACGGCAGGGAACGGGGACAAGGGCGGGACTCCTTCCCGGTTGTGCATCATTGATCGATGGATAGTACGAAGCGGTGGAATAGATCACTGGAGTGTGAGACATTGGGGAATGTGCGGGAAGCGAATACTGTTCAGTCCCCCGGGCCGATTATTTATTGACGAGACTCTTAACTTTGCTCAATTGTCCATTTCGCGGAATTCCATTGAACGTAAAAGGCACAATCGAACATAATTATGTATTCGTTACGTGGCTTCCATGAAATGCGATTGCCATGGAAGTGTGTCATAGAATATTCACATATCGATGCCCGTACTAAAATTCTATCGACATTACGGCACGCTCGATCGAGGCCGCTTCTAATCAAATATTCAAACCGTATTATTCCCCACATAGTGAAGTTGTTAATAATTTCTTTCTCTTTTTATGACTTTATGACTATAAAGAACATCTTTTACAGTTTTAACCGTTTGTGCGGTTCTTCCGTAACCTTTGCGGGAAATGAAGATGACACGAAACATCGAATATAAATGATTATTCGAATATAAGCAATATATGAGATTGATACGTAAGAATATCGAAGATTTCTAGACAAAATTAAAACGCATTTAATTTTTTTATTAAAAACAATTTTAATCAATAATATATGCGCCATCCTGTTTTTGCTATTTTTCATAATTTCCCTCTCGTCAAATTCTTGTGCTTTTCCGTCGAAGACCCGTTTCGAGCGGTTTTTCACATATTCTAAAGAAGCGAAATTTATACAGTCGCGGGAGTTTTCTGTAATGAGCAAAACAGACGATAATCCGAGTGGGCAATGTCGGATGAATATGGTAGGTGAGGCAACACATCCCAGCTGAATTCTAACAATATCCACGAAAGTAAAAAAACATAATGGAACCGGAAAAACTCATTACTGCCTTGCATTTTGAAGTTGACAAAGACAGATGTACTTCTTTAAAAACATTATCACTTGTATCACAAAATATTTAAGTATTGCTTTAAAATATTCTATCAAAGCATATACATAGATAGCCAACTATATGGAACTATCTTCGTGGTATCAACACGCGAGTGCTAAACTAAACAAAAACCCACACCTCCGAGAGCTTCGGAAGTTGTTCTGAGACATCCTATATATTTTTTTCTGGTTATTGTATTATTTATATTAATTATTTATTTTATGTTGTCTATCTCCTATAATTAATATTGAAAGTAATTTCCTATCTGTTCAACATCTGCGAATATTTTTGTTGTATTTACGTGCAATAAAGAAGGATATCTCCCTGTTAATAAAGATTATTTCTCTTTTCTAATTTAAGTCGAAAAGCAAAATCATTTATAAATTAGCTTTCCTAGCTGCTATTTCCTCTTAAGATTGTAAGAGACATCCAAGTGCTTGTTCGTTCGTTTGAAAAGATTATTCGCGGAAGATAAAGGCATTGACGGCATCAAATACGTTGCTATTTCGACGTACTGGATGGTCGATTCGCATCTCGATTTCCGCCCTTTCCCGAAGATATACTCAGTCAGTCACTCATTGGTAGTTTCTCATGAATCTAACCAGCCCGGCGATCGCTCCCTGACAGTTCCAGGACCGGAGTTCGATATCAGCAGCGGCTCGTGTCAGAACATAGGCGGTATACGATAGCGCCAAGGTTTTGCCTATCTTTCCAGTATTCTCGAATAACGCGCTCTCTAATCTTGACCAACGCGATGTCCTCGAGCGCGTTTGCACGCGAGTCGATGTAGGCGCGCATTTGACAGCTCGCTATCGATACATCCGGAACAGAAACGCCATCGAGAACGTCTCGCACAGTTTCGGACAAACAAACAGGATAAGTAACGAGCCGCTGTTGGTGTTTAGCTTCGCGCCGGTCCATTATTGTCACGAGAGAGACGCTTGCGACTTCAAATAAATAGCCGTAAATTTTGAATTATCCGCCGTTTGATTCTTACTCAACGAAAAGACGACGGCACTCACAGCAGAGCGAGTGCAACGTTATGGGAATCGCGCTTAACGATCTTCTCCGCGTCGCGTAATTATGCCGCGCAGATAAGATGACAGCTTCGGATTGCTTTGTCGCTCGCGAGTCGCGAAATCGCGGAGACGGAATTGTTTTCCGCGCCCATTAAGCCGCTCGAAGTCATTTCGCCCGGGGATTCGTAAAGCGAGACGTAGTTATTGTTATTAAAGGATGCAGCAACTTCAACGACGGGCGGAAGGACCTTTGGCGTCTACGAGGTGAGGCGCGGAATCGGAAACCAGCGGCGCGCATCTCGGCGTGTCGCGCTTTCGTTTTGCGAGAAACACAGCGAGAACTCGGTGCCAATTATGTAGCCGCTGATTCGTAACCGATGCAATAAAAAGCGCTTAAACGCCAGTGTGTTTTCCTCCCCTCTGTGATTCTCGTGTGCTACGCGTTGCACCTTCCCTGCAATAACGCTTGGAGAATGCGTGGCCGGCTAAGTGTAAGTAAAACGAGCAAGAGAAAGAGAGAGAGAGAGAGAGAGAAAGACAAACAGACAGAAAGACAGAGAGAGCGAGAGAGCGAATCCGCGCCAGGTCGACGCCTCCGAACGTTCGCGTTACGTCGCCATTGCACCTGGAGCCTTGCACCTAACCTTGAACGCGTCGCCGACCGGTTGACATTCCCTCGTATTCCCAATCTCGGAACGTTAATTGTTAATGAGACGTCTCTCGCTGGTAGCCTCGCGGCCGGACCGAAAATTCTTCACGGAAGAATCGTCAATTACGACCAAGGTTATCGCAAACCGGATTTCATCTCTGGAACAATGGGACATATTCTCGGCAGAGAGCGCGGAGCTAAGAACGCGCACTGGATAAGGACGAGAGCGTGTTCCAGTGAACAATCGTCGTCTGACAAAGGGCGCGGAGCGGCTCTGGTTGGCTCAAGGATTAAATTAGCTCCATATTTTCACCGGTGGATGTAACCCGCGACTTGCCGCGCCAGAGCCGGCCGGAGTGTTAATCGACACTTCCTCTCGTGTATTTCCACATTAGCGAGCTATGACACCAGCGTTGCTGCCGCCGCGCCGTCACAATGAGGTCAAATGAAATTTCATGTTTCAAAAAGGCTACAGTTTCGAAATTTAAGCCGATCTGGATGACTTTTTTTATTAAAAATTATTTTTATTTTTATTAAATAAAATTTAAAACAACTTTGTCGAGTCGGATTTTTGTCTCTTGCTTTCCTTCTGCTAAATCAAACAAAAAAGATAGATTTAAAAATTTTTTCAACCAAAATTTCAATTAACCAATGATTCATTTCATATATTATTTAATTTAATATTTATTGAAATTTGATTTATTGACAATTTATTGATTTATTGATTTTCAATCAATCAATAATTCATTTTATATGTTATCTAATTTAACATTAATTGACGTCAATATTGATGTACAGATATTGATATCGAGATTAAATATTCAAACTCTGATTATACAGGCTTGGAAACAGTCATATTAAACTGACATAGTCGCTAAATCTTACCGTGATTTAATAAACGAGATTAATTGAAATGGTATTCAAAATTGTAATAAGTAAAAACTATTGAATTAAGTAAGATTAAATTATTATTATTATATATTTTTTGGTTAACCCTCAAAACAGACTCAAGAATCAAATATATTCAAGCGATTTCAACCATGTGAGATTTCTTCGAAGCCTGCACATTCTGACCGGTGAGTTCCCATTGGAAAAAAAAGTTTGTAGTGAAAAGGCCTAGAAGCCTAGTGGGATAATAATATGTACTCTATTTTCCTGCATCCTCTAATAATTACCTTCTTTTCAGTGGCAATTATTTCATAATTTCTTTTCTTCAACAAAACAGACTCTCTATTAAAGAACTTCCGAAATATTTGTTTCATGAATTCAATTTAAAACAAAATTATATTTTTTAAATATACTATGTAAACAAAACTTCCTCTAAAAAATAATAAAAAATAAAATACTCAAAATAAACTGTTATCTGATTCGATGGTTTGGGCATTTAATTAATACTTCAATACTTTTTTGTGAATTCTTAATTTTCTGTGAATTTAGAATTTTATGAACATTTATTAATATTTAATGAAAGAGAGAAAGAGAGAAAGAGAGTCCACTAATTATTTTTTTTTGAATAACAAGTTTTAAATTTCTGCATATCTACCGGAATTGTTTGATGGAAAAGAATTTTTAAATTTAACTTCTTTATGTCTGATTTAGAAGAAGGGAAGTAAAAGATCTGGCTCAACAAGATTGTTCGAAATTTTATTAGCTTTTATTAAAAAAAAACATTGGAGTCAGTCCAAATTTAATCTTTTTTGAAATATAAAATTTCACTTGACCCCACTGAGCGTCGTCGCCGCCACAGTATCAAATATGCTCTCTTCAGCGCCGACTACGGAATACATTTTCCTGGGATTTATTTCATCACGTTACACGGTCAAGTCGGGCAAATTCCGTCGTAATCTGTCAAAACGTATTTGCATACGATGGCGTACACGCAGAAAGAACCAGAGTTTACGTGAGCATAGCCAGTTTTGTATGCATACGCAAATAAAATTACATTTCTTTTGTGTCCATTGAAGTTCACCTCGAGACGCGGGACGATCGATGAACGAACGAGGATAGTGAAGAGAGAGAGAGAGAGAGAGAGAGAGAGAGAGAGAGAGAGAGAGAGAGAGAGAGAGAGAGAGAGAGAGAGAGAGAGAGAGAGAGAGAGAGAGAGAGAGAGAGAGAGAGAGAGAGAGAGAGAGAGAGAGAGAGAGAGAGAGAGAGAGAGAGAGAGAG